CAGTGCAGTGGGTTGATGCTTGGTTGGAAGGGAATGAAGGGCATCATCCACTGACCTGTTGATCTGCCAGAGAGGCAAAGGGGGATCTGTCCCACAGTCTTCACAGTGGTGTTTGTGCCTCTGTAGTGTCAGTCCTTCTCTCTGAGTTTTCCTCTGCCCAGACCCAGACTCAGCAGTGTCTCCCTGTACCTTGAGAAATTTCATACCAGGAGAGGGAATCACTGGAAAATGCATTTTCCCTTTGGTTCAGCTGCCCTGCCCCCTTTACAGTTAACTGCAAGTCCAGAGGGAGAGAAGGAATCCTCTCCAGAGAGCTATGCTTTATATCAATTCTTCTCTGTTCTGGTTTTCTGTGTGTAATGAATGTGTATATTCATGTGTTTCTCCAAAGGGCAGCACAGTCACTGTCTGCTTCACAGTATTGGTGTGATGCATTCATTCACTTCATAGTTTCTGGTGCCACTGGTGTTCCCTGGAAAGGAGAAGCAGGTTCTCCCTGCTGGAACAGATTTTTATGGACTCGCTTTTCCACCCGTTTGGATCTGCCCAGAGCTGGGGCAGCCCAGTGTTCACAGCACTGCTCTCACCCAGGGGAGATCTGTGCTGATCAGGTGTTCTGAGCTCCTGAGTGCCCTGATGCAGACACTGACCCTCCTGGGAATTATCTCCCTGCTCTCTCCTGGTCTGCTGGGCTCTGCTTTGGGGAGAAGGAAGGAAGGGAGGATGCTCTGACCCTGTGGGCAGAGCTCTTGCAGAGCTGTGGGACCCCTGCCATTCTAGAGGCTGCCAGAGATGATAAATGCTGCCTTCTTACCTGCTGTGACCTGAATATATTCCCAGATTTGTATTTCCAGAACTGGACTCGAGCTTGAGTTACTATGGGATGAGTGGCTTTATTCAGCTGGATTTTGGGCAGAACTCCCCTCTCTGTGAGCCAGGGGTGGGGACAGAGAGCAGAGACTTCCCATATTACACCTGCCCCTTGTTCCTGTTGATTCACTGCTGTGATACCCCGGGCTGAGGTCTGAGAGCCCCACTTGGGCAGAGAGACCACCCCATGGAAGAGCCAGGTGAATCCTTCCCAGGGAGCTGCTTGTGCTGGAGCTGCAGCCACAGTGCTCTGAGGAGACTGGAAGTGACCTGCCTGCTCCAAAAACCCTCCCCACAGAGCTCTGCCTCCAGATCAGGGCTGTGCAGGCAGCAGATGTTCTTCCCAGGCTGTATTTAAGAGGACTTCACATGACTCCTGAGCAGGCAGTGATGTCCAGACTGGCTGGAAGAAGGGGAAGGGGATTTCTGACTCGTGCTGGGTCTCACCAGCTGAGCCACAGCATCTCTTGCTCAGGGCATTATCCATCTCCAGTTTCTTGCTGCTGCTGCCACAAGATTTCTCACCCCTGCATCCCCCAGGTACTTCCCCACAGCTGTAAACAGGCTCATGTAAATAAAACCCTACTTTACAACCAGGAAAAGTCTCAGAGATCCTGAGATGTCTCATTGGCACAAGAAACAGAGCCTGGGGGATGTGCTGGCCTTGCTCAGGCCATGCCAGGGCCATGAGCTGCAGCAAGGAAGGAAATAAGGAAAGCAAAGCTTGGAGGGAGTATTCTGCAGCTCTGGATTTGGGAGCTGTGGTGCCAAAAACCCTTTTAGTGTGGAGGATTCCCACCTCTGTGGGCCAGGATCCCTGGCATGGATCAATGTCATGTCTCCACAGCTGTCCCCTGGCTGGCAGGCTCCTGGATCTGCTGCCATGCCCCTTGTCAGCTGCAGGATAAATGCTGGGATAAAGCAGGAGAAATGCAAGCTGGGTTTGTCCTCGCTGTGGGACTGCAGGACTCTGTGTGTGTGTGGGCAGTAAAGCTGCTCTTGGCCACTTTTATGTGCCTGCAGGTTGGCAGGAGGAAACCAAATCATTAGGGGTCCCCAGGCTTCCATCCTCCCTCACTGGGCTGGTAGAAGCATGGTAAAGAAAAGAGGGTTTTTCTCCAAATCCTGTAATTCCCACTTATATTTGTAGAGTATAACTTGCTGGCTGTGCTGTAGTGTGCTAATGACACCTTGTTTTGTGGCTGAACTTCACGTTTGCAATAGAACAGCAGTAGAGTAGGAAGTGAACTGTGGAAATACCTTGGGAAACAGCCTGATGTTTCTCCCAGGGGGCCTGTATGCTAAAATCTTTCCATTCTCCAGTCTGCAAACACTGCAAACCAGCCCATAAATGCCTCTCCAAGCCAGGCGCTATTATTTCTCCTTTGGCAGGAACGTGACCACCTGTTCCATTCTGTCCTGAGCTTAACTATCATCGTAAGAAACTAATAAAACCTCTCAAAAGCAGCATTATAGCAGCTCCTGGCAACCTGGGGATTTTCATCTGGGTAAAGAGAGCTGAAATACCAGCCCATGACCAGAATTCCATGTCTCCTGCTTGCTGGGTTATTTCCTCTGTGACTCCTATCCATGGGGCTTCCCTGTGGGCAGAAAACGCTGTGCTTGGTGAGCCAGAGCACATTTTCATTGAACCTCTGTTTACAGAGGGTTTGACCCACGTGGGGCAGCTCCTGATGAGAGGATTTTGCTTGTTTGCCCCCAGATGAGGAGTGCAAGGAGGGCTGGGCAACTGGCCTGAAGCAGAGGTGTGTTTTTCAGTTGATTCCCTCGCCTGGCATGACATTTTTCAAGCTGAATTTGGGTGAAGCAGCATCTGGGGCTCTCTGCAGGGATGGTTATTTCCATCCTTCCCTCCAGCACGTTCCCCTGGGTGTGCTGTGTGTGACAGGGTGAGAGACAGGAGGCAGCTGCTCATCCTGTGGGTGCTGACGTGTCCACGTGGGACCCTCCAGGGCTGAGTCCCCTCCAAGCACAGCGTGCCCCAGGCTGGCAGCTGGGTTTTGGGGGGTGGCACCTCAGGCTGATGCCTGTGCCTGTGTGTTTGGGGTGCAAGGACTGCACTGGGGGAGCTGTGGGGCTCGGGGCAGGCTCGAGGTGCCCCCCCCAGCTGTGATGTCAGTGGGAGCAGCGCCTGCCCCTGCTGTAAAACTCCATCCACCCACATCATCCAGGAGGGACACGAGGCTTGGGCCCCCTCAGGGTGAAAGCTGAGAGCATGGAGGGTGCTGGAAGGTTTGCTTGGTGCTTCTCCCTGCACCTGGCCCTTGGAAGGGGTGTGATGTGCTGGGGGAGAAGCATCCAAAGCCCATGTAAGGTGAAGATCCATAGGCCAAGGCTGGGGGGGGTGCTGGGAAGGACACCTTGGAGGTGGGAACACACCTCATTCACCTGTGGAGGCTGTGGAGGCTGCTTGCTGGTGGAAGTGCCCTCTGTGCTGCCAGGGAGGTGACAGTATTTGGATTTGGATGCTCCTGGAGTGACAGAGACTGTGCCAGGCCATGTGGGGGGTGAACAATGGATCCTCTGTGCTCCTCTTCACCTGCTTTCTCAGGTGTGTCCTGGGGAGATTGGAGTGTTGGTTGTTCCCTCATAAGCAGGGACTGTGTGTCTGGGCTGGCAGGAGCTGGGCAAGCACAGATAAGTGGTGCTGTCAGGGATTTTGGTTCCTGCCCCCCTTGAGAGTGGGGAGGGGAAGGGCTGGGCAGGGGTCCCCAGCCCTGTGCTCTCCATTGCTGGGGCTGTGGGGAAGGAAGTCTTGTGGGATCAGGTGGGATGCTTGGTTGGGGAGAGCCTGGAGATGCAGAGCTGGAGCTCAGCTTCCCATGGCTGCATCGTGTCGGCTCTGCTGCCATCCTCCTCCTCTGGCAGGAAAATGGGATTCATTTTCCAGCAGGGATGAAAACCCCCCTGGCTGCTCTGCCTACCGTGGTGCTGGGGGGTGGCTGGGGCCTTCCTTTGCCACCTCCAGCACGAGCCCAGGGCAGTGCTCAGAGGATGAGTATCCTCTCCACTTTCTCCACTCACCTTCCCATCCCAGCCAGCCACAGCTGTGCCCAGTTGGATGCAGCTCCTGGACCAGGCTGGTGGCTTGGCTGTGGCGCAGAACAACCAGAAAACCACGAGGGGCTCAAGGCCTTCCCCACTCTTCCCCTCCTTTGGCAGCAGCAATGGAAGGGTTATGTCCACATGCTTCTGTACAGAGCTTCTGGAATTCCAGATCCTCAGTGTGTTGGAGAGAAACACAGTAGGAATCGGAAATATTTGACCCGAGTAATGTGGTGGCATTGCTGGACATTCTTTTGGACATGGCTCATGGAGCTCGGGGGGGTGAAGGCAGCCTGGCTCTGGGGCTGTGCCTTGGGGTCACATGAGGACACCCCAGGGAAGGCAGAGGGGATGCTGGTCTGTCTCCTTGTCTTGTCAAGGAGAGGGGTTGACCTCTCCTGGTGGATGCTTCTGTGGAGCAACCAGCCCTCCTGCATCATGTGGAGACTCCTTCCCACTGCAGTCCCGCCTGTGTCCCTTGAGGAGCTGGAATGGGTCTGGCTGTAGGGAAGGGAGCTGCTGTGACAGCTGGGCTGTGCTCCCCAGCTGCTCCCCCCTGCAACTTCCAATCCTTTTCTAATCATCTGCTGAGCTGAGTCAGTTCACTGAAGCAGCAGCAAAGCCAGGTGAGGAAATGCCTGTTCAGGGAGCTGAATGGGCTCCCTGAAGCACCAAATGACCTTTATACCAAAATTACAAGGAGCGAGTTCAGTTCCCTGGTTTTCAGCTCATCTCCATACCCAACCCTGAGCTGCTTCAGTGCTGGGATCTGGAATTACCTACTGTAGTAAAGTGGCTGCAGTGCAGGCACCATGTGGACCTTCCCCTCCTCGGCTCCTTCCTCCCATCCCTGTGGCTCCCCACAGACCTCAGGGGTCCTGCTGTGCTGACAGCTGGAGCAGCCTTGTTCCCTGTGCTGGCAGCTGCACTTCCATTAGGAAAGGACAGCTCTGATGCCATGGATGGGCACGGAAATAACCCAGAGTGTCAATGAGAAGCAGTTTGTTCCTTTTGGAGAGCTTTAATTGACTTTGCACCCCTGTAGCAGCGCGGGAGCTGCCCTCGGTCGCTGCTGCCGCAGCTCTGCCCGGAGCAAGGTGGTATTTTGGAGTCCCTCCTCCTGTAGCTTGACGGTAGGATGGCTGCCATCCATCTACTGGAATTTGGTGTGCACATACTCAGCTCCATGCTCCTGGTACTCGCCCTTTGTCATCCACGCACGCTGGAAGGACGTGAGAGACGCTGCCATGGAGCCCCCCAGCCAGGCCGCCGTGCCCCTCTCCGGGCTCGCCAGGACATCGATCTGGACGCCCGTGCCTTGGGAAAGGAGGTTCAACCCTAAGCACATCCTCTCTGGGAAGCCAGGAAACATGGAGGAGCCACCTGAGAGCACGATGTTGCCCAGCACGTCCCTCCTGGCATGGTCGGGCACCGTCTGGAGGCTCTGCCAGGCCAGCTGGTGCAGCCCGGGGCAGCCGTGCTGGAGCAGCTTGGGCTGGAAGAGCGGCTCCGGGCAGCAGAACCGCTCCTTGCCCAGGGTTATCCAGCGCCCATCTGGCGTCTGGAATCGGGCTGGATGATGGCAACCTTGGTCCTGGAGGTCCCTTTCATAGTCCAGGGAGACGTAGCAGCACTGCTTCTTCAGCTGGGACAGCGTCTTCCTGGTCAGGGCGTGCAGCGCCGCGGGCTGGTTGGGGCTCTCCAGCAGCAGCTGGTGCAGGTGGCTGGAGAGGAGCTCCCCGGCCACCCCCAGGCGCTGGGTGCCCTTCCTCAGGGTCTGGCCCAGGCAGACGGTGGTGACGTGGGACACTCCCGCCCCGGCCTCCACGGCCAGCCCGGTGACTCTGCCGTGGGCGCAGAGGGACAGGAACCCGGTGTTGGCCATGTGCAGGGCTGGCACCCCGAAGCTCTCGAAAAGCACCTCGGCTGCCTTTACCCTGTCGGTGGCAGGGCAGGACGGGGACTCAGCCAGGAGCACCGGGTGTTCCTCTGGTGGAACTCTGAGGCTGCAGGAGAAGAGGTGGCCCCACAGGCTCTTCATGCCATCCCAATCCTCAACGATGCCGTGCTGGAGCGGGCAGGACCTGGCTGCTGCGGCGAAGCCTTCCGTGCTTCCCGTGGCAGTGGGATGCTGCTGGCTGTCCCTCCTGGGGCCTGCACTGCAGGGGTGCAGCAGCACAGTCCTTAGAACAAACTGGGGCTGCCTCTGCCCCGCAAAGCCACCCCGGGTGAAGCTGCTGCCGCTGTCGATGATGACTGCAGGCTTCAGCATGGCTGGCACTCCGGAGGGATGCCGGGGAGGGAGGAAGAGCCTGCAGCGGGACAAGAGGGGTCTCGTGAAGCCAAACCAGGCCCAAGTACCTGCTCTACAAGGGAGAGCAGCTCAGCCCCACTGCAGGACAGCAGTGCCTGCTCTAGAAGTGTCTGGGTACGTGTCTCAGCCTTTCCTCCTGTCTCCTCGCTCCATGTCTCGCTGAGTATCCCTCCTTGGGTACCTTGTCTCCCTCCCTGGGGGCCTGGAGATTTTCTGGCAGTGCAAGGACAGAATTTCAGGTGGTTTTAAGGAAGCAAGGGAAAACTGGACAGGAGATTCGAGTGGTTGGACCGAATCCAGGGCTGTATCCAAAGGAGTGTGCCCAGGAGGTCAAAGGAGGTGATTCTCCCCTGGTGCTCACTCCGCAGCTCTGATCCAGAAGGACAGTGGTGGGGAATGGGCACACAGACCCATATTCCTCCTGGACACCCCTCCAGTGCCAGGGGGCAGGTGGGCTGGGGCTCACAGGGGCTGTCACTCACTTGTACTCGACGAGTGACATGGGGAAGGTCTGTGGGGTGACCCTGAACACCAGCACATGTCAGACATTCATCACGGAACCTCCCGTGGGAGCAGAGGGGCTTGGCGGTGTCTTCCCAGGGAGAGAGGGCATGAAGCCAGCCCCTATCCTGGCCTGCCAGTGGTGAGGGATCCCTGGAAGGGGCTTCCTGCACCTGGGGGATCGCCGTGGGGTCCCAGCCTTGTCCCAAGAGCCCTGGTGTGAGCAGAGCCGTGTGTGAACGAGTGAGCACGAGGGATGTTCTGCCAGCCCTGGAACCCTCCCTGAAGCTGGGGACAGTCCCTTTACCTTGTGGCTTGTGTCCATCTGCTCTCCTCCACGGCTCCCGGAGCTGAGAGTGCTGGGGCCAGGGCTGAGACTGCTGGGGCCGGGACTGAGGGTCCTTTGGCTGGAGTGCAGATGGAACCGTGCCTGTGTTCCCTGTTGTGATCTCACAGGCAGTTGCCCAGAGGGTTCTTCTGCCCTATAGTGTCACTTTTTTTTCTGAAATAACTAAACATTTGATTGACATCCACCTCTTTGAGTTTATTTAAGGGCCAACCCCTTCCAGCTGTGGCTCTGCTCCCCCCGCATGGAGTCAGAGGTGCCTGACATATCCTCTCCTCTTCCCCACAGAGGTATGAGACCTCCTCGAAGATAGAGCAGTTCCTGACCCGATTCCTGCTTCGGGAAACCATGCACCAGCTGCAGTCCCTGCAGGCATCCCTGGAGTGTGCTGTGGACACCGTGGAGGAGCAGGCAGGACGGGAGAGGTAATGGGGTGGGACGTGCTGGTCCTTCCCAGCCCCGCTCGTGGGAGTGCAGGATGGGGCAGGGTCTCCCTGGGAGGGACATCCCAGAGCAGGATCTGCCCTTTCCAAGCCTGCTGTGAAGCTGATCCCTCTGGGAATGACTTCAACCCCTTGTTCTGCATTTTTTTCCTTCCAGAAAGGACATAAAAAAACCTGAGACTTCAGTTGGCCTGAGGTCGGGGAGACGGTGTGGGCGCAGAGGACAGAAAAACATCTGTCTGTCTCCAACAGACCCCTATTCTGGGATGCTGACAACAGGTACCTGCAGCCTGGTGTCCCTGGTGTCCCTGGGGTTGGTCTGTGCCCCCCTGAAGCCTGGAATGGGTGTGGGATCAGCACAGAATCAATAAGGTTGGAAAAGACCTCTATGATCGAGTCCAACCATTATCCCAGCACTGCCAAGGCCACCATTAAACCATGTCCCCAAGTACCACATCTACAGTATCCCTGGGCAGCTCTGGGATGGAGCCTGGAGCATCTCACCAAGATGCCAGCTTCTGTGGGGTGTTGTATCCCTTGGGCAGTAGGAGAAGTTTCAGCAGAAATATCAGGTTTTTGGTTTAAATCAGAAGTTTTTAGAAGATCTGTGGTTTTCTGGGAGTTGAGCAAGCTTTTGCAATGACAAAATTGAGGGGTTTTTTTTTGGTGCCCTTTGCTGTGCAGGTGTTTGTGTCGAGGACAACAGCCAGTGGATGGCTCAGATCAACAGGCTCCAGCAGCTCATCGAGAAGCTGGAATGCAAGGTGTGTGGCCAAGGAGAGCTGCTGGGGGCTGCTCCACATGGCCAGGTCGGTGCTGGGACCTCTCCCTGTGCCAGCACCCCCCATATTCGGTCCTGGCATCGTCACAGAGCTCCACCCACTCACCAGACCCAGACTTGCAGTCTCCAGATCCACCCTTCTCCTCTCAGCTCTGCTGACCCTCCCATGGTCCTGCTGATCTGACAAGTCAGTCAGGACCCACCAACCCCACAGGTCATATGCCTGTCCTCCCCCAAGGACCCCAGGAACATCTCCTGTCCCCTGAGCTGGGCTGTGGGTTCCCAGGTTTGCCTTGTTGCAGTAACTCTGATTTTCCTCGTGGTGTTGAATGCAGAGCCCACGCCTGGAGCCGCTGAAGGAGGAATCCATGTGCAAAGGACAAGATGCAGTAAGTCCCTGTCCTGCTGCTCCTTGTTTGTAGGTAACCCAGAATATGCACAGATCCCCCCTCACACAGCTCCTGTGCCCCGAGACTGGGTGAGCTCTGCCTGTGGGCTGACAAGGAGTCTGCAGCCTGGTGATGGAGCAGGGTGGGATTCAGGGCTGTGAGCTGGGTGTGGGACCATGCCCAGGACAAATGCAGCTCCCTCAGGCCCCTGAAAGCCCTGGGCAGTGCCCACAGCCAGCCCAGAGGAAGGTGATGCTCTCTTGTGAGTGCCCAAATCCCCCAGGTGTGCTCCGTGCACAGCCCAGGTGGAGGGATCCCCAAGGCCCTTTCTGCTGTGGGGAGGACACTGGGAACTGCAGCAGGACCCCACCACCAGGGGATGGAGCATCTCCTATTGGTGCAGTCCTTGGTGTAAAGGCAACCTGCCCAGGTGGGAAGAAGCCACTTCATGTCACCGTGGTGCCAGTCCCACTGCGGTGCTGTGCTTGCTTGGCACCGCCGTGTCCCGCAGCAGGGTGGGAGCAGGGAGGGCAGGAGGGGACAGGCCAGTCCCTGATGCCCTTCTGTCCCTTGGCAGCACATCCTGGTGGCCAAGAGGCAGATCTCAGTGGCCACGAGCAGCATCGAGGAGTTCCGGCAGGCGTTCCGCTCCTACACCGAGGGCACCGCCGGGCACAGCAGCTGCCTGCAGTAAGTGGGGGGGTCTGTGGGGTGGTTTGTGGGGTGGCTCCTCCAGAAATGGAGGCTTTAATATGGCACCTTTAGGGGGGACAGAAGGGTTTTTGTGGAGTGTTTCGTGTGCTGGTCGGTGCAAGGGTGGGTTCAGCACGCAGGGGTTGGACCTTGCAGAGAGGGTGAGTGTGTCATGGCTGCAGCACTGTCCCTGCCTGCAGTACTGTCCCAGCTCCTGCTGCAGGTATTCCCAGTAAGAACCAGTGTCTGGGAAGGAGGGGGTGGGTTTTATGCCAGCAGGAATGGCACGTGCGTGTAAGTGAGTGCATGAACTCCTCCAGCACTGAGGGACTCGAAAGCAATGGAAAGGTCAAGGGCAGAGCTCATGCAGAGCGTTGATTTATGGACAGTGTGTGTGGGAAGCAGCTGTAAGCACCTGAAGCTGACCCCGTGTGAGGCCAAGGCTGCCCCCAGCACTGCTCCAGGGCTCTGCCTGCAGGGACACATCACTGCCAGCCTGTCCCTGAGATGCCACAGCTGCTCCCTGAGCGGCACTTCCCTTCTCCCGTGGGAGATTTCAAGCTGCTTTCAGCAGGGAATGTTCATGCTGTTCCCATTTAAAGCGTCGTTTTTCAGCTCTTCAGTTTCAGCAGCATAAATGCACGTTTTCAGTCCAAACAAAAGGAAGACGCTCGTTGTGACACATGTGACGGGGAGAATGGGAGTTCTTTTCTATGGAATTGATGGGCTTTTTTGTCATGAGAGCTATTTGTGGAGACAACAGGGTGGCGTGTCACGGGCAGGCTCTCCATGTGAGTGGAAAGCTGGAGCCAAGCCCAGGGAGACTCCACAGTCCTGGCTCACTCCAGGGAATTGCAAAGCCCATCATGGCCCCTCAGGGGGATGCAACCTCAGAGCTGCTGGGGGAGTTGTTTGCTGTCCCCCCAGAGCTTGGCCCCCTCCAGCAGCCCTTGGCAGCAGCTGGAGGAAAGGCTCATCCTCAGCTGGAATTGCTGCTGCTGCAGCCGAGTGCAGCTGGTTCCCTCAGCCCTGCACCCCAAGCCTTGTGCTCTCACCCCCCTCCTGCTGCCCCCCATCTTCCCAAAGGCTGGAGGCCCAGTCTGTTCCTATGGCAGGAGGGAGTGTGGGGAGCATCACTGGGGCAATGGCATCGCTCTGGGAGCAGCAGGCTGTGGGTTCATGCTGTGAGCTCAGCTCCTGCCCTTGTGCCTCAGTTTCCCTCCATGTGAATGGTGACACCTCCTCCAAAGGGCTGGAAGGATGAGCTGTGCCAGTGCTGGGGATATGTGGAAATAATAAAACACTGACAGTGCTGATTCCTGAGCAGCAGTGAAGACCAGTTTAAAAGCGTTCAAGCTCCTCTGCCGCCTGGACACAGGAGCTGTGAGGCAGGATTTGGGTTTGGAATCCCCTGGAGCTGTTTGCTCCAGCAGCCACGAACTGGATGCATTCAAACTGTGCTTTGGAGGCCTCGTGGAGAGACTGATGTGCCCGGGCTGGGGGGGCACACGTGGCTGTGCCAGCACCCGGCCTCAGCTCAGGGTCACTCCTGTCCCCACAGTGTCTCTGCCTGCAAGCTGACAGACGAGGCCTGCTTCATCCTGTACGAGTTCTGGCAGGACGTGACCTCGTGGAGAAGGTGGGAGCTCTCCGTGGGCAGGGCTGGGGCCGGAGGCTGGGGGGGGCTCAAAGGGGTTTCCTCTCGGGGCTCCCCCTCCTTGCCCAGCCTGTCCTGCTGCTGGCACTGCTCACAGCTGTGAATGCTGCTCAGAACACCCTCATGTGCACCCCGGGGCTGTTGGCAGCATAAGAGTGTGCCTGGTGCAGCAGCAGCCCTGTCCCCATGCGTGGACAGGGATCCTGGCACCAGAGGCTGCACCCCCTGCACCCCTCTGACCCTGCTCCCTGTTTTACAGCCACTTGCAGTCCAGCTGCAGCAAGACTTTCCAGCAGTCCATCATCAGCTTGCTGGAGTCCCCGGAGCTGCTGACCACCATGCTCTTCCCAGGTGAGGGGGTCCCCAGTGCCACGCTGTGCCCCGGGTGTGCTGCAGAGGGCAGGAGCAGTGCAGGAACAGGCACAGGGACTCCCTCCAGAGCAGAAGATTGGTTTGGGGTGATCTAAATCGGGTTTTTCAAGCCAGGGTGAGACCCACTGTCCCCGGCAGGTTTGGTTGTGTGAGCTGGTGGTGCTGCAGGGTCTGTCCCCTGCCCAGGGATGCTCTTTGGCCAGGACAGCCAAGCAGCAGGGGCACTTCACAGGTAGCAGATAAGCTGGGCCCTGCCTCAAATACACCTGGTGCCTTGTTTTGGTTTTCACCTGAGCCCTGAACCTGTTCTGCAAAGCTCTGGTGCTCTTGGGTCAGTCCCAGTGGCTGCATCCAGGCTCAGCCCAGTGCTGAGAGAGAGGAGAGGCCAACACAGGGAATGTGCACATTCCTGTGGTACCAATAGAAATGTGACCAGATGTGGGAACTGGGGTCCACATTAAGCCCCAGTTTATTTTCAGGGATCACATTCAGGTCTTGTGTAAAATAATATAAAACATGGATTAATTTGGTCTGAACCCTCTGCTGCCAGCACTGCTCCTGACCTGCCAGTCCCACTGCCCACATTCCCAGTGCTCTCCTGCAGAAGCTGCCACAGCTCAAGGGGGATCACCCACCTCCAGGCCATCCCATGGCTGCGCTCCCTGCCCTGGGAGGGGGGGTGGGTGCTTTAGGGCCAGATGCCAGGGACCTGCAGGGCCAGGACCCCCATCCCTGCCACCCTACATCCCTCTCCTGTTTAACACTGCCCTCACATCCCTGACCCCTCTCCCTCTCTCCCCAGCTTCCTGGTGGATCATGAACAACAACTGACCCAGGCAGACACCTCAGGACACCGTCAGCATGCGGGAGGACACGGAGCCCTCGGCACAGCCCTCGCCTTCCCTCATGTTCCTCCTCTCCCTGTCCCTCACCCCCTCCTGCTGCCCAGCAGGGCTGCCTGCCCTTGGCCCTGCCAGTGTTTCACCCCTGCTATTCTCCTGTTAATTTACTTATTTATTTCCACCCCAAGACAGTCTCTGAGCTGCCTGGCGAGAGCGGAGCACTCCCTGAGTGCTGGGGGGAGCCGTGTTTGGGGGTGACACCCTGGCCCTTGGGGGACCACTGGTCTGGTTGCTGTGTCCCCTCAGCCCCTCCTGCACTCCAGCTCCTCTTCCTCCCGGTTCTAAGGGCTGCCCAAGGCTCCATGGGGTGTTGGGATGGGCAGGGGGACATGGCTGGGGCCAGCTGTGACATCCCTGTGCCCTGCCCACCAGAGCCACCCTGGGCCAGCAGCACCTCTGCCCAGGGAGCCAGGTGGCCTCCTATGGATTGTGAATAAGTGTTTTATAGGGAAAAAAGTATTTAATGAACTATTTCTGGCAAGGTGTGCCTGATCAGGCCCTGACACGCTGGCAGCCTGTGCAGCCACTGCAGTGGCCTTGAGACTGACCTTGTGTGCCCCAGCTGTGCCCAAGGCTGTGCCCGTCTCCAGCACACCCTGCTCCTCAGGGAGACAGCATGGATCCAGCCCCAGCACATCCCAGTCCCTGGGGAGGCCAGAGGGGCTCCAGTCCCAGCACGTCCCTGGGAAGGCCAGTGTGGCTCTGTCTCTGTTGCTTCATGAGTTCACATAAACAGGCATTAGCACCAGGCAGTGCTGCCAGAGAGGCTGTAGCTGAGTTAATGGTGATGGGCACCATGGGGAGGGGGCATGGGTCGTGCTCGTGGTCCTGTTGTTGGTGCTGGAGCAGCAAATCCCTCACTGAGCTGGGGTGAAATGCATCATCACAAACAGTGTGGAGTGTGGGGAGAAGGGCACATGGGGCAGGCAGGGACTCCGGGGACTCTTGGCATGGAGGACAGCACTGTCCTTGCACCCCTGTCTGCCCCCAGCACCCACGTGGGTCACCACAGGTGCCTGCACCCTCAGCACCCTCAGGGTTGTTACCACCCCTCAACCTCTTTTCCCTGGTGCTGCTCCACCAGAAATACTAATTTTGACTGTTTCTTCCCCAATCCCTGCAGGCAATAAGTAAAATCCGTGGCTGAAGGGGCAGTGAGTGCAGCTCCATCCTGGGGACACCTCACACACACTGTGCTGGGTGGGTCTGACACAGTGTCAGCCCCTGCCCTGGTACCATGGAGTGACAACACAGAGGGGCTTGCTGGGTTTGGGGTGCTTGTTTTGCCCCAGCAGAAGCTTTCTAGGGCAACCCCTGGGTTTGAGATATGGGGGTGACACTGCTGATGTCCAGAAATGGGATCAGGGAAGCTCCTCATTGGAGGGGAGGAACAGCAGCTCAGACATGCACCAACAAACCCTGTCCTACGTCCCAGGGCTGACTCAGGAACCAAACCACAAATGCTCCTCCCCGTTCCCTGGGGACCCATCCTCCAAGTGCCCAGTTACACACCCTGTTACTGATAACTGCTGACTGCCCTGGCCAAAACCATGGTCACAGGGCAGGGGAGGCAGCTCCATTGCCAAGGGCCACCTTCCCCCCCTGGGAGTTACACACAAGGGCCACAGTGGGGCCATGGGCCATTGGTAAAGGGACAGGGCACAGCCAGGGTGGGTTAGAGATGGGTACCCAGAGCATCCACAAAGGGCACAGCTGCAGCAGGCACTGATCTGGGATTCTTGAGCTGCCTCCCCAGCCCCACGTGGGGTTTGCCCCTCAGGTTTGGGCTTCTTCACCACTGGATTACTGTTTGCAGGAGCCTGGAGAGCAAAATCCTCAGATTAGGCCAACATGTGTGCAGGGGGCTGGGGGCACAGGGCTGGCACTGCCAGCCAGCTGTGACAGCACCAACCCTGCAGGCTGGTCTGTGCTCAAAAAAAAAAAGTAAGTTCAAAAAAGCTCAGAAAAGAACACACTTAACCAGGAACTCCAACATCACTGAGTATGGGATTGAACTCCAGCTCTGTTCCCAGGCTTTGCTCGGGCTCCCCACAGCACCTGCAGCAGCATCACCACTGCAGGGGAGGCAGCTTTTGTCCCTGCAGGTCCCCAGCCAAGGTCATGGCCTAGTAGCATCTCCCAGAAAAACCCAACAACAACCTAAGCACTGCAGAAAACACCTCTGCCCCTTCCCACAGAGAAGGGGGAGCTGGAGGATGAATATAGTCTTTTTATTGACTACTTTTGAGTAGAACAAACTAAATACATCTGTAACAGTTTGGGTTCCTTTATACAGGACATTAAATAAGTTATGCACAGGAATGAAGTAACAAATTTCTATTACAGAATTAAATGTCAAAAAAAACCCAAACAGAAACCTCAACCCAATGTCTTCCCATGTCCCAAGTTCACATTTATCATTCCATGTTTTTTTTAAAAAAAACCAAACAAAAAAAAACGAAAAAAAAGAAGCAATCATTCTAATCATGACTGTTAGTATTCCATTCATTTACACTGGAGTTAATTTTAATACACAGCCATCAACATTGCATGAGAATTATGGAAGACAATCTATTTACAAGCAACTCCTTCCAGCTCTGCCCTGCCCTCCCTTCCCATCCCACCTTGGCACAGTTGGCCCCCACTGACCCACAGTGTCGGGTCTGTGGGTGAGGATGGGATGTCACAAGCACATAACTTACCTGAGGCTGCTCCAAATGTGCCCCTTAGGGCAGGAAAACCCTTCAGCCCTGGCTAAGTGGGGGTGCCAGGGCAGCCCCTTGCCCTGGTGCTCTCACAAGCCCCAAGTGCTGCTCCTCCCCACTGAGGCATCTTCTCCATGCCATGGATTTGGGCACAGCAAACACGGACAGAGCTGCGTTCTGGGATCCTTGTGAGGGCCACCTGGGGCTCCCTGGCCACCTCCACCTGCCCCAGGTTGGGTGACACCTCTGGGCTGCTGCAGGTCAGGGTGGCTCCAGTGCCTCCCCCCACTGGGGGCTGCCTCAATCCCAGTGGCTGTGCTGGGCTCCCATGCCAAGGGCTCTCCCAGCACCGACTCCTGGGGACACGGGGGATACACTCCCCTCTGCCACTCCCAACCCATCTTCAACACCAGCCACGGTGGCTTTTTTGCATAACAAAACCTTGCAGACACACCATCACCCATCCTATCCCCCAACAGCAGCTTCCCAAAGAGCTTTCCCCAGGAGCCAGGGTTGGTGCAGCGGGGTCTCCCGCGAGCTCCGTCACGATTCATTACAGCTCCATTTTTCACCTCCAATCCAGAAAGTGATCAAAAATAATTTGGGAATTACTCGCCTCATTGGGCTCCAGCCCAGCAATTGCACACACACAGTCACGGAAACACGGCTTTGCTGAATAGGTGGATTTCCAGAGCCTGTTTGTGCGACTGTGGGAATTTGGAGCAGCTCCCAGAGGGCACACGCCCATCCCTCCCACGGGCTGCACCACTGCTGACCTCTGTGAGGCATCCAAGAGCAGCCCTGCTGTGCCCTGGGACAGCCCTGCTGCAGGTCTGTGTTAATCATTGCCCTGAATCCCTCCAGTGCCTCCTTCCACTCCACAGCAGGGAACCTCCAAGTGACAGATCTCCCCAGGCTGATCACAGCATCCCCTCGCTCTCAGCCTGCATTTTTGGGATGGTCTCCAAAGGCTGGACGAGGCAGATCCCGGGCATCTCCCGATGCAGCACCACAGGAGACTCCCAGGGCTGGGGGGGGGAGAAGTGACACAGGACACCAAGTCCTTCCTGTCTTTTAGCAGTTTGGCCGATGTGTGCAGAGAGCACAGGCTGTAAATCACCCCCTTGCACCCCGTGAGGATCCCTGGGCTCAAAAACAACAGCAGGAACTCACAAACCAACAGCTTCTAGGCAGTGAAAAAAACCCCAACGCTTTCTGCACACCCAAACAGCCCCCAGGTGGAAAGGGCAGCTGCTCCCAACCCAGATCTGCTCTGCACGTGTTACCTCAGCACAGGTCCCACCCAGGAAGCACAAAAACCGTCTGTCCCACCACAGAATGGGATGAAATCCAGGCCATCCCACAGTACTTCCCCAGCACTGACATTCGGTTTAAAGCAGACAAATCCTCTCCTCCCCCTCTGCAGCCATCAGATGCCAAGCTGCAGGCAGAAGCAGCGGGCTCAGCTTTTGCCACGGCACTAGAGGATGGGATGCTCCTGCTGGGGAATTGGCTCCGGTCTGTTCACAGCAACAACTGGCTGGCACGGCCACCTGAGGCACCACTGCTGGGAGTAAGGAAAAAAACAGAGGGATATTATGGAAGAAAGGTGGCTGAAGGAGGCAGCTCAGACACCTCAGGAAGCCTGAGCACGCCACAAGCATGGGGCTCCCTACTTGGGCACCACACGCTCAGCATCTCCCGTGTGTGCCAGCACTCTCCCACAGTCCAGGTCCCCCGAGTGGGTGCCCAATGTTCCCCAGGTCCTGAAGATGCTCTGGTGCCCCCCCAGAGAGGGGCAGGGAGCTGCTGTGGGCAAGGCTTGTCCCAGTTCATGAGCCATAAAGGAAAAGGCAGGATGAGATGGCAAAGCCAGAGTGTCAGCGCTCCGAGGAGACGGCGCGATGGGTCAAACGTGTCAAGTGGTAACAGTTGTTGTGGGGTTTTTTTTCAGCTTAAAAAAAACTCATGAAACTAATCAAATAGAGAGAGCCAACACCTCCCTCCTAGAGCCCGTTTGTATCTATTGCTGTCACAGACGCTGGGGTGGAGGAGCGGGAGGTGGTCGCCGAAGTCTTCTCAAGGGCCGGGCTGGGGACGCCGTCGAGGCTCTTGGCACCTGCTGCCACCCGGCCCGTGGGCAGAGCCAGGGACTTGCTCTGGCCATGCAGGCCTTGGCCACAGATCCGGTGGTGCCTCTCCCAGTCCTTGTGCTGGCAGAAGGAGCCGCAGTACCGGGCGATGTTGCAGCCGCTGCACGTCTCGCTGGCTTTGCGACCGCAGTTCCAGCAGCTCTGCAAGACCAAAGACACCACACTTGAAAGGGGTTTAGTTTCCAAGAGCTGCAGGATGCTGCTGACTCAGCTCTGGAGGGGACTGTCCATCCCCTCTGACCCAGATCTGGTAATATTAAAATGAGCAATCCATTAATTCCTGCCATTTCACAGCTCTTTGCCAACGGTTCTAACCCCTGCTCCTCTTCTCTGTCCAAAGCTGCTGTCACACTGCTCCGGTCACATCCTCTCCCCTAGATCCACCCAAATGCAGAGAGGAAACAGCAAGCAAAGACTGAAGAACATGCTGCAGATGCTGCTGTTGGGTCTTTTTATTTCCTGTTTGAAGCAGCTCTATTTTGGTATCGCTCCCAGCCAAGCGCTCTCCGCTGGGATTACGACATGCTGCACAGGCACCATTTGCTCCGCGCCCTGCCTAGCTGCACAAGGGGTTGGGACAGGCCAATTTGGAAAAGAGAAAGCTCATCTGAAAGCCTCCCAGCCAGGTGGAAGCACTGCCAGAGCCCGAGCTTCAATCTGGAAGCAGAGCAAAGCCCCTCTGGCTGCCGGGAGAGGAGTCAGCTGGTGGGCTCCTGGTGTGCCACCGCTTCCCTCGGAGCGCGGGGCAAAGGGCCAGCGCCGGAGCGCCGGCTGCAGCTGCTCCGAGGAGGGGAGCTGGTGCATCAGCTTCCCTGCAGCTGGATCCAGGCACAGCAAACACATACTGGGGAGGGCGAGCTCAGCTGTGGGAACGCAGCGTTCATCAGAGCCAGCTTGCTCTGATCCTGCCCAAC